TTTTATTGTGATAAGCTAAATGTCGGACAAAAGAAAGTATACACCCATGTTTGAAGATGGCTAAAAATGAAACAAACCAAAGTGATTATTAGGGGATGATGTATTCGATATGGATATCATAGTAATGTTTGGACCTTAATTTTGCAGAGTTTCGGCGACTGTTTTCAGTCAAGTAACGATTTGATAACGTGTGTAAATGTTTTGGTCAAATCTATTTTTCAAGTTTGCACTTTCCTTTGCCCGTTACTTTTACTTTGACATAATGACTCAAAAATTGTTGAGTTGATTTTCTGTCCCAAAAATGATTAGTTGTTAGAACTAAGTAAAAATGTGACAATTAAAGGCCCTTATTTGGCTTTATATGCAACGACAGATACCATCAGGGTTGAGAGTGAGTGAGTTGGGTTTTAATGCCGCTTCAAGCATTATCACGGCGGGGGACACCTACAATATGCTTCACACGTTGTTCACATGTGTGGACTCGAAGCAGGTCTTCGGTTTGACGAGCGAAAACTTAACCCACTGGCCCATACCACTGCCCCCAGCTAAAAACAAGACAATCTTACCTCGTACGAGCCGGTAGAATCCAGTTAGGAGGCATCTTGGTGTTCAAAACGACGGAAAACTCGAAGAGCGTGACAAGTTAGTACCATACGGGCAGACAGCTTTGTCGTGATTGTGACGTCATGGCTCATAGTGACAATTGTGACGTGTCACACCAGTGACGTCACGTGTTTGTGTAGACTTAGCTGGGTTCCATCTTAAGCTGGCCCCCGGCTCCCTTTGCGCGTCGTCATTTTGCGATATTAAAGACGAGGTCCAGATTAGGTTCCATCTCTTCATCACACTCCGGTGCAGTGGTGATTAAGCATAACACCGCTGCCACAAGCTAATTTGCATATCACGTGCCCGGACTTTTCTCTTGTTTGTAAACAAACCCGTTTCTTACAGAAATGAGTATAGAACGGACAAATGCAAGTATTTGGGAGCGCTTTACATATTGTTTTGCATAATAAGATAGATATGCTACTACAACTGCGACAGTGAGTTGCATGACAATATTTATACATCAAAGTGACCGTATCGCTAGCTCTCCGTTGGGCTTCGATGACAGCACGTGGAGCCGTACAAACAATGTAATTAAAGGATAACTACTCAAAAAACAAGTAGATTTTCACGTACAAGAATACTTTCTTAATGAACCGTAACCATTCTTTGAAATTTGTTTATGAAAATATGTAGACTTGTCAAATATGAAACGGATGAAAAGCAATTGCAATATCTTGAATGGACTGTGAAAGATGTGACGAATCGTCACATGGCGCTGGCCTGTGGCAGAGGTACCTTGTTGGTCGTATGGAACTCTGGGTAGGAGAGTGACAAAAGATAGATGCGTAGAGAAAGCGAGGAACCGGCCCACGTGAACGATGAGGACGTCATTGTATTATTCATTCGTGACCAGCTCGTGTTATTCCGGGACAAGCCGTATTTTCGCAAATGACATTCATCGATAGGGGGACGAGTCTTCTTGCAGTTACGGAAAGGGGCGAGTGGTAACGAATGTGGATTATTGTGTTTCCCTAATGGAACGGGCAGTCCTCTTTACAGTTATTCCTAGACAGAAGTACAACTCCCATGTTTTCAACACAGAGTGCATGTGGAGCTGTTGATGGACTTAACGCAAATATGAAATTAGGCAGAGATGTAGAAATATAATTTGCTCATGACATAAGCAGATATGCAGGGTTTGTGCGTACACTAGTCATACCCTGTACTCCACGTAAACGATTATGTGTGTTTATTATATGCAACTAATGTTGAGAATGGCTGCACAGGAAGTCATGAATTTATACTGCAAAATATTGCAACAAAATAATTTGTGCCACGAAAATCTGGTAACCAAACTAATCTGCCTACAGTCCGAATGCCATGGCATAATATTAGTTTATTGGTAAAGCCATGATATCAATCACCATTTTTTACCATGCGGAAGATGCAAATCGGATCAGATTCGGATTGAGAACGGGAGAATGGGGACGAATTCGGCTGGAAACGGCTGAATCGGGACGCTTCCTGAAAAATATCTGTTTGTTTGTGAATTTCTCGCCGCCATGAATAACAGGATCTTGATCAGATTTTGATGAATTTTAATCGGGAATGGTCCTATCAAGGACGGCAGTAGGAATCCTGAATGCGTGACTGAGCCCTAAAGGACTGGCTTGGATTGGATTGCCTCGAAGTGCGATCACTGACAAAGTTGAAAATCATGGATGAGCGATTGTCGTTTTGACCTGCAATGATTATGTACTGTTGTGAGAGATAAGAGAACAAATTAGACGATACAATTTGAGGATAACATAATGATGACTATTTTACACATATGCCAGGAAAACTTGCAATGTTTAGGTACTGTTGTCATAGATGATAATTACAGTTTCGACTATTAAGAACGGAATTTTCTTAAATATTTTACGCGCAAACCATTTGGAAAACTCTTTATTTATGGTCATAAATTAGAGAGGTTATCACGCGGGTGTGTTTTGGATTGATAAATGTCCTAAATTGGTAATATTCATCGTCTTCACTCCAACCACAGGACATTTACCATCCCACAGCACACCCTATTTGTATAACTGTGTATGGAATCGAACTTTCCATATGGAGTCAAAACACGACGTCGAGCTGCACACACCTACCAAGAATAAGAAAATCTGTTGTAACTACCACATGTGAATCATGAATTCAAGCTGAGGATAGCGCATTCCCCTCATCGTTTAATATAGTTTTTTCTCTCTATATGTCATTATTGGGAACGACGGAATGTCCCGTAAGAAAAGTCTTCCAATAGTGCTCCAACCAGTCATACATGCACACATCGAACGTATTTCCGCATATAAACTCTAAACAAAATAGGGGATACGCTGAAATAACGTAAAATGGCCAAGAATGTAAGAGGTATAAGTTTGTCGTAATAGTTGTATGGTAGTAATGAACGAATTTGTAACGCATTACAAGGGGTAGTGAAGTATGACAGCAGATGTTATGACCGCCAACGATGTTGAAGGACGACAGGCATAAGATGGGAAATTTCAAAGTGGACGATTTTGGATCAGTAGTGCGTTATTCCGTTACGATTTGTCAAACAGTCATTCACTCCAAGACGCAAACTGGGTATGAATCTCCGAAATGCGATTTGAGGGAGCCTGTCCCACTCCTCTTGCTACACCTGGCCAAGTTCGACCAACGCAGTCGGCAGCATATGACGTTGTCTCACACGTCTCCCTATCATGTCCAAGACGTGTTCAATGAGGTGAAAGGTCTAGGCTCATTTCTGGCCAGGGTATTTTATGGATGTTGTGCTGCTGGAGGTGAGCATTGACGATTCGTGCACGGTGAACACGGGCGTTGACGTGAAAGACAACAGGTCGACCCCCACGCTTTTGCAAACGAGACAGTAAAGGGTGTCAGTATGTTGTCCCGATAGTTTTGCCATGTGACCCTTCCTTGCACAATATGGAGTGGGGTTCGCTCAGTTATAACCGATCCACCGCCAGATATGTGATGAGGTCTCATGTTGACATTGGTTTGACGTTCATTTCGACGTCACCAGACACGACCACGCCTATCAAGGCATTGCATAGTGAATTGGGACTCATCCGAAAACATGACACGTGACCAGCGACGATGTCGACGCTGTGTACATCATTGACGTCTGTTGTCTATATATAGAAGGGGTGAGGGACGGCACAACACGTGGCCGTCGAGCATGGAGATGGGCTGCATGTGGACGATTTCTAAACGTCTGACCCGTACCTCGTACTCCAGTAGCCTGACGAAAGTTTGTAGCTGTTTGATTCACCATTTTAGCTCAATTTCTTAGAGCCTGGTTGCGGATCAATCGATCCCGTATTCTTGTCGTTGACCTGGGACGCCCTGAACGGGGAAGATCGTCAACATTTTGGGTTTGGTGGTACCATTGCCATAGTCTTAACATTGAACGTATTGACTTCTGTAAGATTCCAGCATGTCAATAGCCTTAGACGCTCCGCGCGATGCAGACGATGAATCGCAAGTTAACTGACAAACATTAAAATTTTCAATGTAATCAAGTGAATCACAACTGTATGATAAGAATCAATATGATTGACATAAATAATGGTCCACAGAGACTACTCGACCTTCCTTGAAAGCGTCAAAATCAGGAATGACGCCCTACGAACGTGTGTGGTGCTACTCTGTTCTGATGTCAAGTTTTACAGACACATCTGTTCTTTCATAGGATGTTTGTCGGCAACACTTATCTTTGTTCTAATACTTGGTATTAATATTTATATTCCATTACCCCCAACTGTGTTTTAAGAGTATATTTGTGAACGTTTTCCTATTTTCATTTGACGTGTCCACAATATTTGAAGCGGGTGCATCTGACGCATCATCAATGTTCAAGTCCAGTACAATTCCCTCTGCCAAAATCACACATTGTCTCATTCCATGCATTTCCTAAACGCTAGCTGCCACAGTCAAAACTGTGCCTTCTGTTGGGGCTGTTCTGTACCACCACCATTTTTTACTTACTTTTGGGGCATACATACTGTACAAAGAGTTGCCCCGTGTCCTTTAATAACCAGCGGCCTTGGACATATATCAACCCCAGTGTCTAGAAGCGGATACATCAACTTTAACCCAGGTATCACACACTCGCTGGTGGGCTGGAAGGGTTTTGTGAGTGAGTGAGTTTGGTTTGAACGGTTTTCCCAGTCATTTCACGGCGTGTCAGCGTGATGTTGAAGAGAAACCTCATGTGGTGCAGTTCTTATGTGTTTACAACTTTTTAAGACCCACACGCACGGGTATGGTGCTGACAAAACTAGCGACATAATTAAGGCCGACCGGTTTTCGAACCCACGATAATAGGTGCCGCTAGTATACATGTTTATCCTGCAAGTAGCATGAAATGTTTGCAATGAATGAACACAAGAAATGGTTTTATGTTATTCATTTAATTAAACACAAATATATTCAAACAAAATAATACAAAACTGATTTTGATTTAAAATTAAAAATGTACACAATTATTTTCATTTTCCATATTTACAGGTATGTACAAATACAAACACATATCTACTCCTCCTCCTCAATCACCTCCAGTCCCCACACAGTGACACGTGACTCCCCCTCCTCACACAGCTGATACTCTGGGGCCACCTCTGCCCCAACCCCTGCCATATCCCCAACCACGTCGCTCCAATTCACACCATTGTCCACACAATATTCAGGATTGAACTTCAGTTCTCGTTCCATGTTCATTTTCTCAGAAATCATGGCTTGGGTTTTTGTCTGCTGGAAGTTGGGCTGCAGAATATCGAGAATGTCTATGCTTGCCATCTCGGCGTGTTCACAGCGGGATAGACGACGGTTGCTTGTCCGCCATGCAGGTTTCTGTGTCCTTATGAAAGCCTTCCACAGGACGTAGACAGTGACTACCACAGCTGAAACAGAATATTAAAGTGTGAATATTAAAATGGGAAACTTTACAAACTGTGAAATGCGTTAAATCTTGATAGTGTGTGATTTTGAGGTGCTAAACGATTCAGAAGAGGAGGAAGAGAGAAATAACCTACCAATTCCTGCAGTTATTGCGAGAGTGATAAGACAGATGTTTCCTGGGCAAAACCACGTGACATCTGAAAGAAAACAATCACATGTGTACTATTTCAAACGTTACAAGATGTTCGACCTTTTACATCATGAGGGACTGATATTGGACATTTCCCATCAGTTATTTAATACGTTTACATAATGATGAGGTATTATATATATGAAATGACATCCAACATAAAATTCAGATACATCAAATATTCATAAATGAACATCAGTTGTCGGTTGCTGTGTAATATACTCACCACGAAAAGAAACATAGGAGGTGACGTCAGCTGACGAGAGTGTCGTAGTACTGAAACAGAGCGGGTTTAATAAAAAGAGGGATGACATATGGCATAAAGTCATCTTGTAACCATATAGTCGTTTTGAATAAAGATAATACCATGAAAATAATTTTATTGTGATAAGCTAAATGTCGGGAAAAAGAAAGTATACACCCATGTTTGAAGATGGCTAAAAATGAAACAAACCAAAGTGATTATTAGGGGATGATGTATTCGATATGGATATCATAGTAATGTTTGGACCTTAACTTTGCAGAGTTTCGGCGACTGTTTTCAGTCAAGTAACGATTTGATAACGTGTGTTAATGTTTTGGTCAAATCTATTTTTCAAGTTTGCACTTTCCTTTGCCCGTTACTTTTACTTTGACATAATGACCCAAAAGTGTTGAGTTGATATTCTGTCCCAATAATGATAAGTTATTAAAACAATTGTGACAATAAAAGGCCCTTATTTGGATTTATATGCAACGACTGATACCATCAGGGTTGAGTGAGTGAGTTGGGTTTTAATGCTGTTTCAAGCATCACACGGCGGGGGACACCTACAATATGCTTCACACGTTGTATCCATGTTGGGACTCGAAGCGGGTCTTCGGTTTGACGAGCGAAAACTTAAACCACTGGCCCATACCACTGCCCCAAGCAAAATCAAGACAATCTTACCTCGTACGAGCCGGTAGAATCCAGTTAGGAGGCATCTTGGTGTTCAAAACGTCGGAAAACTCGAAGAGCGTGACAAGTTAGTACCATACGGGCAGACAGCTTTGTCGTGATTGTGACGTCATGGCTCATAGTGACAATTGTGACGTGTAACACCAGTGACGTCATGTGTTTGCGTAGACTTAGCTGGGTTCCATCTTAAGCTGGCTCCCGGTTCCCTTTGCGCGTCGTCAACTTGCGATATTAAAGACGAGGTCCAGCTCCGGCGCAGTGGTGACTCAGCATAACACCGCTGCCACAAGCTAATTTGCATATCACGTGCCTGGACTTTTCTCTTGTTTGTAAACAAACGGGCTTTTTCAGAAATCAGTATAGAACGGACAAATACAAGTATTTGGGGGCGCTTTACATATTGTTTTGCATAATTATATTGATATGCTACTACAACTGCGACAGTGAGTTGCATGATAATATTTATACATCAAAGTGACCGTATCACTAGCTCTCCGTTGGGCTTCGATGACAGCACGTGGAGCCGTACAAACAATGTAATTAAAGGATAACTACTCAAAAACAAGTAGATTTTCACGTATTAGGATACTTTCTTTATGAACCGTAACCATTCTTTGAAATTTGTTTATGAAAATATGTAGACTTGTCAAACATGAAACGGATGAAAAGCATATGCAATATCTTGAATGGACTGTGAAAGATGTGACGAATCGTCACATGGCGCTGGCCTGTGGCAGAGGTAATTTGTTGGTCGCATGGAACTATGGGTAGGAGAGTGACAAAAGATAGACGCGTAGACAAAGCGAGGGACCAGCCTATGTGAACGATGAGACGTCATTGCATTATTCATTCGTGACCAGCTCGTGTTATTCCGGGACAAGCCGTATTTTCGCAAATGACATTCATCGATAGTGGGACGAGTCTTCTTGCAGTTACGAAAAGGGGCGAGTGGTAACGAATGTGGGTTATTGTGTTTCCCTAATGGAACGGGCAATCCTCTATACAGTTAATTCTAGACAGGAGTACAACTCCCATGCTTTCAACACAGAGTGCATGTGGAGCTGTTGATGGACTGAACGCAAATATGAAATAAGGCAGAGATGTAGAAATATAATTTGCTCATGACATAAGCAGATATGCAGGGTTTGTGCGTCCACTAGTCATGCCGATGGACTGATGATGGTGCGCGGTAACGGCAGCTATGGATTCTTGCTACACATGTGTTGGTTATAATGGATTGTCCGTCAAACATGTTTCATGGTCGGTGGGCTCAAATGCTCCCTGTACAAAGACAACACCGCTCTATCATGACGAGAACGTAGGTCAGCGGTGGAACAGCTATACATCTGCAGACCCGTGGGATTCTGGGTAAAAATATAGGTCTCCAGCAACCTACATATGTTTGTCGTAAGAGACGACTCGATGGGTAGGGTGGTCACTGGTCAGACTGACACCATATAGGCGGTTTTGGTTGATTGCATTATCGTATCCCAAATGCGCCGATCGGTGCTCATGATGTCAATCACTGGCTTGTCTGGTCCAGACGGACGTCATATAGGTGGAATGATTTCGGCGTTAAACAACCAAAGAAAAACATGCTCGAGGTGACATCTATGTCCCTCCTTGTCCGGGTGCCATGAAGTGCAATGTTCATGACTGGAGTCAAATGTCCCTGAATTTGGAAGGACGTATACACTTTCCAGGGCCTGTCCCTTGGGCACGCAAGAAACCTATGACTGTGGGTTCGAATCCACGTTCGCCCCAATTATGTTTCTAGGTTTGTCAGCACCATACCCCTGCTCGTGGGTTTCACCGAAGTGGTAAACGTCTGAGACCTGCATCACTTCGGGCTTTCCTCCCACATCAAGCTGACACGCCGTGATATAACTGGAATACTGTTAAAAGCGGCGTTAAACCCAACCCACTCACTCACTCACTTTCTAGGGCCAACTGTACATGCACTGTAACCCCGACTTTCGGTCGACAGATGGCAGAAATAGGGCAGGACATGAAATAACTCCAACCCGTTAGCCCTTGTGATGTGATCGTTTACAATAATTCGTTAGTGGAACTTTTAGTGATATTGTCGCTTTCTTGTTTGAATTTTGTTTCTCTTCACGACAATTTGTGAAATATAAGTACCACTGTAAGGCTTTGGCGGATTGGTTCCATGGTACATACCATTAGGACATACACTCGTGGTCGTATGCCCACTCACAATGTATAAATCACCTTCATACAATATGCACGAGGAAAGGATCGCGAATTCAAATGAGCTTCAGCTTCGAAAATGTGCAAAATTTGTGATGCGATTGACGGAGAGAAATATTTACTCTCACTTATACTAACTCCGACACCTTTGTGTGGTTGATATAACAGCCACTGTAAACAGCGACATGTGAAACAAATCGTTAGTTCTCGACCAGAACTACTTTCCTGAAACATGTTTATATCTAACATGTATGAGATATATTCCAGGTAAACATTAGAAAACTTCCATATCATGACATGCACCAGGTGCTCCGGGAAGATAGGACACGTGCCAAATACATCACCATCATTTAGGCAACTCTACAGCAAAAACTGTCACTGGCAGAACGCCGATTTACTTTGAGTGTATACGCAGACTCTAAACAAACGTGACGTCGTAGAGACTAGAGTAGCTCCCCTTTGATAAAGGACTCTAGCGGGCGGACCGATGGCTAGCCTCGAAGGGCGATCACATCGAGGAAGATGAAAATCATATGTGGGAATTTGCAATGTTTATGTACTGCTGTGAGAGATAAGAGAATAAATTAGACGATACAATAATTTATGAAGATAACATTATGATGATTATTTTACGTATATTCCAGGAAAACTTGCAATGTTAAGGTTCTGCTGTCAGAGATGAGATTGACAAATTCAACCATTAAAGAACGGAATTTTCTTAACTATTATACGCACAAAGCATTTCAAAAACTCACTTTTGAATTTACACATAAATAAATTGCGAGATGCCCTTAAAATCAAAATTTAATTTAACATGTAATCAAAATACGACGTCGAGTTGCACACACCCACCAAGAAAAAGATAATCTTAGACTATTATAGTTACCACATGTGTGTCATGAATTCAAGCCGAGGATACCGCATTCTCATCATCGATTAAAAAAATCGTTAACTTTTTCTTCTATATGTCATTACTGGGAACGACGGAATGTCTTCCAAAAGTGCGTTGACTTGTCATACATGCATATTTCTACGTATTTTCGCACCTTTACTCCCCAAAAAGTAGGGGATACGCGTAAATAACGTAAAATTTCCAAGAATGTAAGAGATATTAGTTTGTACTACTAGTAATAGTTGTATGAAAGTGATGAACGAATTTGTAACGCATAACAAGGGGTAGTGAAGTATGACAGCAGATGTTATGGCCGCCAACGATGTTGAAGAACGATTCGGGTAGGATGGGAAATTTCAGAGTGGACGTTTTTGGATCAGTAGTGCGTAATACCGTTACATTTTGTCAAACATTCATACACTCGACAAAGCATATTGCGTATGAATCGCCCAATGGCGATTTGAGAGATCCTGTCCCACTCTTCTTGCAGCACCTGACCAAGTTCAGCCAACGTGGTCGGCGGCATATGGCATTTTGGGTTTGTTGGTACCATTGCCCCAGTCTTAACATTGAACGTATTGGCCACTGCACGCATTCCAGCATGCCAATAGCCCGTAGATGCCCTGCGCGATGTAGACGCTGGACGCTTGTTCATTGATAAGGAATGAAGTCAAGTGAACCACAACTGTATGATAAGCAGAATCAATAAGATTGACAGAAATAATGGTCCACAGAGACTACTCGACCTTCCTTGAAAGCGTCAAAATCAGGAATGACGCCCTACGAACGTGTGTGGTGCTACTCCGTGTAGCACGTGCAAACTATAGGATGTGTTCTGATGTCAAGTTTCACAGACACATCTGTTCTTGCATAGGATGTTTGTCGGCAACACTTATCTTTGTTCTAATACTTGGTATTAATATTTATATTCCATTACCCCCAACTGTGTTTTAAGAGTATATTTGTGAACGTTTTCCTATTTTCATTTGACGTGTCCACAATATTTGAAGCGGGTGCATCCAACGCATCATCAATGTTCAAGTCCAGTACAATTACCTCTGCCAAAATTACACATTGTCTCATTCCATGCATTTCCTAAACGCTAGCTGCCACAGTCAAAACTGTGCCGTCTGTTGGGGCTGTTCTGTACCACCACCATTTTTGACTTACTTTTGGGGCATACATGCTGTACAAAGAGTTGCCCCGTGTCCTTCAATAACCAGCGGCCTTGGACATATATCAACCCCAGTGTCTAGAAGCGGATACATCAACTTTAACCCAGGTATCACACACTCGCTGGTGGGCTGGAAGGGTTTTGTGAGTGAGTGAGTTTGGTTTGAACGGTTTTCCCTGTCATTTCACGGCGTGTCAGCGTGATGTGGTAGAGAAACCTCATGTGGTGCAGATCTTATGTGTTTACAACTTTTTAAGACCCACACGCACGGGTATGGTGCTGACAAAACTAGCGACATAATTAGGGCCGACCGGTTTTCGAACCCACGATAATAGGTGCCGCTAGTATACATGTGTATCCTGCAAGTAGCATGAAATGTTATCAATGAAAGAACACAAGAAATGGTTTTATGTTATTCATTTAATTAAACACAAATATATTCAAACAAAATAATACAAAACTGATTTTGATTTAAAATTAAAAATGTACACAATTATTTTCATTTTCCATATTTACAGGTATGTACAAATACAAACATATCTACTCCTCCTCCTCCTCAATCACCTCCAGTCCCCACACAGTGACACGTGACTCCCCCTCCTCACACAGCTGATACTCTGGGGCCACCTCTGCCCCCAACCCTGCCATATCCCCAACCACGTCGCTCCAATTCACACCATTGTCCACACAATATTCAGGATTGAACTTCAGTTCTCGTTCCATGTCCATTTTCTCAGAAATCATGGCTTGGGTTTTTGTCTGCTGGAAGTTGGGCTGCAGAATATCGAGAATGTCTATGCTTGCCATCTCGGCGTGTTCAC